AATATTATTGACTTTCATTCTAGAATCACTATTATGATTTTGGTTTAAGTGTTTATTTAAAATTTTATTATTTTTTTTTATAATTTTTTCAAACATTTTCAGTACAACTATAACTTAATTTTAGCATATTTTTTATTGAAAATCTTGCTAAGAAGATTATTACTTGGAAAATGTTTTTTAATCAAAGCAAGAAACTTTTACCGTAACTTACTACTAACCAAATGTGTACCAAATGATTTTTCTATTTCTGTTTCTTCTCTGATTATTTTTATTATTCTTTTTATATTTAATATCAGGGCATTTATAACCACTAATTTTTAAATCTTTATTATAAAATTTGCAATGTTTATAAAATATATCTTCATTTGCAGAGTTATTACTAACTCGTTTCTCTATGGATGAGGGTACATGTAAATATACATATATAAATATACACTCGCACACACACGCACACACGTGTGTGTGTGTGTGTGTATATATATATATGTATGTGTGTGTGTGTGTGTATATATATATATATATATATATATACATACTAGCAGCATGGCCCGGCGTTGCCCATGCTTGATTCAAAAATCATACGACTCATACAGCAATCGCTATCACTTGACTTAAAATATTTTTGTCCTTCCTTGCCTTTAAAGGAGTGCCCTTTGCCATGCTGATGTTGCTACAGGCCTTACTTCTTGCCTATCTCACACTGCGAATTTTTTCTAAGCTCTATACTAAACATTAAATCTGTTATGAAAAAAAGAACTAAACAAAATGAACACAAAATGATCAGCTTTAAAAAAGGACTTGTAACTGGAAAAACCAAATGAAAAAAGAATGTTAACAACAAATACTTTTTCATACCAACCCAGTTCTGCAGAATCAGAATCAACGTTGAGTTTAAGCAAGCGAATGAGCCAATTGGAGTAAAGTACCATGCAGATTTAAATTTTTCCCACTTGTGACAAATGCAGCTATCGATTTTTTTTTTTTTTTTGCATGCTAGCATGCTAGTTAACATTCGTGTCAGTCAGCTGTTGGCTCTCATGCTGGCCAATAGAATCTTCCTGCCTATTTGTGGCAGCGAGCTATAGGCTCTCACTCTAGCCAGTAGAAAATGGCTGCAAACTACATGAAAACTGCTGTAGAAGCATGAAAAAATCGATTATTTCCACTATCGATGGGAGTTGGGAAATGCAACATCAGTCTTGGCCTTCCCGCTAACTTGGAGCATGTGCATGTAAATTTTGGTGCAAATCTGTCAAACATTGCAGCCGTGTATTCATTACACACACACATCCTGCCTTTTATAGATAGAGATGTCTGTGTCTGTATATATATATATATATATATATACACTTTCTTCTTTCTGGAATGGATCACAATACACTACAATTATTAGTGAATATACTCCAACAATGGACAGTACTAACATTTTAAAGGCTCGGTTCTAGGAGTCCTTGGGAAGTATACTCTACAGGGTTCCAAAAGATGACAAGATTGTCCTCTTCAGTGACTGAATTGGTGCAGATTGGGAGACCTGGAATAGTTTTGGGAAATATGGTGTCGGGAAATCAACTGCAATGGTTTAAGGCTTCTCAAACTTTGCACAGAGTTTAATCTTTGTATCTATAGTACTCAATTCAAGTACAGGAATGATCATGTTACTATGTGGATGCATCTCCATTCACACCAGTGGCATCTCATTGAATATGTCATCATCCACAAGTGAGATATGCAGGATGTCCATATTGTTAGATCTATGCATAGTGTGAGTGCTGCCTAGTGAGGGCCAAGATGAACTTTGTTCTTAAACCAGCAACTAGACAAAACAATGAGAAGCTTCCTGCACTCTCTGGAAATCACTAAAACAAGAAGACAATGATGTATCTTCATGGGACTCCTTGAAGAAGAATATATATAAAGCAGCTGAGGAAGTTTTGGGTAAAATGCCAGCAAAACATCAAGACTGGTTTGATGAAAATAATGATGCTGTCAAGGAAATCATTGCACGAAAGAATCTGATATGAAGTTCTGTGTTGCAAAAAGGCCTGTCCAAAGAACACAGTAAACTGTGCAAGGAGTTTAAAGCTACAAAAGCAGAAGCTCAACATGCTCTCCACATATGCAGGAAAAATGGTGGTCTGAGCTATCAGATGTAATAGAGAATGCAGTGAATTCAAATAATACCAAACAGATGTACTACTCGATGAAACAAGTATTTGGCCCCAGATCCACCAGATCGCTCCTCTCAGGACAGAGGACGGCAATAATCTCCTCACAGACATGGATGACATGGTCAAGAGATGGAAGAAGCACTTTGGTGGGCTACCTTCAAATGTGGACCCTGAGGTTCTCAAAAAATACCCCAAAGACCCATAGTGGTAGAACTTGATAGCCAACCATTGCTGGGTGAGGTTCTGCGTGGCAAGGAGGAACTCAACATGAGCAAGGCTGTTGGAGTTGACAGCCTTCCTGCTGAGATATTCTGTTATGGTGGAACACATTTAAGTCAACTTATGCATGATCTTATTGTAAAGGTTTCGAGAGATGGAGAAGTGCCAAAAGATTGGAGGGATCCAACAATGATACTTATATATAAAGGTAAAGTTGCCCGGGAATTATGTGGTAATTATAGAGGGATTGCTCTTCTTTCTTCATCAGGTAAGATCTTAGCCTCTGTTCTCTTATTAAGATTAAACTAGAGCATAGTTGACAATATACTGTCTGAGTCAGTATGATTTCTGCCAACACAGAGGGATTGCAGATATGATTTTCACAGCACAACAAATCCATGAAAAGAGCTGTGGACATTTATCAAATATTTGTAGATCTGAGGAAGGCTTTTAATGACTGTTAATCTGGAAAATCCTCTCAAAATTGGCCTGTCCCCCCACTTCCTCAAGATTCTGAGATCTTTCCATGACTGTATGGAAGCCTGTGTCAGTTTTGGCAGTATTCTTACAGGGCAAATCAAGGTTAAAAATGGAGTCAAGCAAGGAGATCTTCTAGCTCCTACACTGTTTTCTGTCGACTTTGCAATTGTATTGCTTGATGCATTCAGGGACTGCCATGGTGGTATTATGATAAGGTACAGGTCAACTGGCAAGCTTTTCAACATACCTAGGTTTGCAGCAAAGACAAAAGTCTTTTTGAGTTTAGTGCACAACCTTCTCTATGCCAATGACTGTGACCTGGTCACATACACTTCAGCACGCACAGGGGTTCATGGATCGACTATCAGGATCATGTAAGGCTTTTGAACTGTCCATCAGCCTTGACAAGACAGTGGTGATGTCTCAACCTGCATGAGGAATTCAGTATATAGAGCCATCAATTTATGTTGATGGTCGTCGACTTGGGGTAGTAGACAAATTTATATACCTTGGTAGCACCTTCAACCACCACTGCTCTCTTGATGATGGGATAGTTATGGATTAAGAAGGCTTCTGATACATTTGCAGCACTCAAGGTCTGTGTCTGGAGTTATAAGGGCATAAAAAAGCAGACAAAAATTAAAATATATAATGCCTGCATTAAGTCATCTCTGCTATATTCATGTAAGACATGGGTAGTCTATCGCAGACATCTGAAGATACTGAAACGTTTTCATCAATGCTGCCTTCAGTCTGTGCTTGAAATACACTGAATGTTTCACATCCCTGATACTGTTGTTCTATAAACGGCCAATTCACTCTCTGTGGAAGCACTTATAAACAAACACAGATTGCGATGAACGGGCCATGTTGTCCATAGGGTGGATGACAGAATTCTAAAACAAAGACTGTATGGAGAATTGGAAATGGGGTAAAAAGACTGCAGCACAAGCCAAAACTTTGTTACAAAGATTGCCTTAAAGAGTCACTATACAAGTACAATATTGGTCTGGATAACTGGGAGCTGAAGATCAGGTTTCTTGGAGAGCTGGTATTGCTGATGGCGTCAAGATCTTCCATGAAGCATCACAAAAATATGCAGAACTGAAAAGAGGAGTTCAGAAGGGATCCCTGAAATGCTATGAGGTGCCAACCTGGCCATGTGTCTAATGCAATCAGATATGTCTGTCTAGGGCAGGTCTGCTCAGTCACCAGAAATCACACCAACACCAACAGTCTATTGTACATGACGATTTCATAATGGCATGCTTTGAATGCCCAACCTGCACTAGAGTGAGCAAGTCCAGGTCAGTCCTGACAAGGCATATGAAAAGGCATATTAGAAGTGAGGATGATGATCACAGTCAACTTCCACCACCCGATGATTTGATATGCGACATATGTGACAAGAAATGCAGATCAATGGCTGGCTTTATGAGCCACTGTTATTCACACAACTGATGAATGCAGTGTTTGGTTGGGGAGGGGGGTAAATGAAAGGCTGGACATGTCAGTGATGGTCATATTCACTTTGTGAGTTGACAGCCACTATATATATATATATATATATATATATATATATATATATATATATATATATATGTTTGCGTGTGTGTGTGTATATACATGTGTGTAAGTGTGTGAATATATATATGATGAACTTTGGAATACAGTGCTGTAAAAGATGAAAAAATATTAATATATCCTAATCTATATAAATAAATTAGCCATTGTGTATTTTCTATATAGTTTTCAATGGTCACATTTGCTTTTTCTGTAATATGGTAGTAACGGCAGTAGCCACCACATAAGTCAGTGTTTTTCGTTACCTCCTTTTTACTACATCATAAAGTCAGATTACAAACCAGTAACAAACTTTTACCAAACAATCTTGGTATGCTCTTGAATATTTACTCTACAGGTGGACGGTTAAAAGTTTTTCCATGTGAAAGTAGCTGATGACACAAAATAGGTTGAGAACCCCTGGCCTAAAGGAAGGCACAATGGCTGACATGTTGTGATAACAACAAAGATGAAGACATTATTTTGACTATAAATAATGTAAATAATGATGTATAAATGCACATCATTTTTTATGGGTACTCTGCTAGTAACTTATAAACCTCTTATCAAATGACATCATCATCATTACCTTCAGCAGATTTTCAACATTCCACTGCTGTAAGTTTTCTCATTTTCATTGATAGGCCAAACTCTTCAATGCTGACTCATGACATATCGGAAATGGTAGAGAGGCAGGTTTTAAAACAATCTTCAGCTAAGTTGAAACCAAGGTTTTGTTTCAGAATTACATGCATTGAACAAAGTAGTTTTGAGAAAGTGCTTTTCCTTGAACGATAGTTCTAAATGATGTACTGTTTGATCTGCAGCCAATATATAATGAGGCATATCAGCAAGTAAATAGAATTATTTTTCCAGCTACTTGCTTCTTTCAATGTCTATACCATAACTGGCTTCACTGGCTTTGAGTTTTACTGATCGTTAATTTATCCTGATGTTTCTTTTATATATATATATATATATATATATATATATATATAATAATGCAATAAGCATTATAAATCAATAAAAAAACAAATAAAATTATTTTCCCTGCTAACCATGTTTATATCAAGAGAGATGGTTTAACAACATTGTTTTTTTTTTCTTTTTTTACTAGATGGACTGTGTTCAAGATTTGTTTTTATAGAACTTGCCACCTGTTTTGATTTGTTTAGTATATTTTAATAGTTGTTGCTTTGGCTTTAGGGAGTATCACTGTAAAAAGATCAAAGGAATGTTAAGTGGTGTGTGTTTGTTTTTAGTTTCTGGAACTCCACTATAATGAGAAATGTATTTTTGGTTATAAGTCAGCAGCATTCAAGAGAGGAATTAGGTTTTCTTTTTCTGCTTTTTATTTTGTTTTGACTTGGAAGCTGGGGTTCTGCTTCAGATGCTGGGTAGGTTGTCGCATTCATTTTGAGGAATTTCAAATTTTAATTTCAGATCAGTAAAGCCCTTTTACTCTCTTTTTTTCCTTCCTTCTTTTTCTTCTTTTCTCTTTCACATTCTCTTATTTCTCTTTTTCACTTCCTCTTTTTCTTTCTCTTTTTCACTTCCTCTTTTTCTTTCTCTTTTTCACTTCCTCTTTTTCTTTCTCTTTTTCACTTCCTCTTTTTCTTTCTCTTTTTCACTTCCTCTTTTTCTTTCTCTTTTTCACTTCCTCTTTTTCCCTCTCTTTTTCACTTTCTCTTTTTCCCTCTCTTTTTCACTTCCTCTTTTTCCCTCTCTTTTTCACTTCCTCTTTTTCTTTCTCTTTTTCACTTCCTTTTTTCTTTCCCTTTTTCACTTCCTTTTTTCTTTCTCTTTTTCACTTCCTCTTTTCCTTCCTCTTTTCTTTCTCTTTTCACTTCTCTTTTTCTTTCTCTTTTCACTTCCTCTTTTCCTTCCTTTTTCTTTCTCTTTTCACTTCCTCTTTTTCTTTCTCTTTTTCACTTTTTTTTTCTCTTTTTCTTTCTCTTTTCACTTCCTTTTTCTTTCTCTTTTCACTTCCTTTTCTTTCTCTTTTCACTTCCTTTTTTCTTTCTTTTTCACTTCCTCTTTTCTTTTCTTTTTTTTCCTTTTTCTTTCTCTTTTTCTTTTTCTTTCTCTTTTCACTTCCTCTTTTCTCTCTTTTCCTTCCTTTTTCTTTCTCTTTTCACTTCCTCTTTTCCCTCTCTTTTCACTTCCTCTTTTCCCTCTCTTTTCACTTCCTCTTTCTTTCTCTTTTTCCTTCCTTTTCTTTCTCTTTTTCACTTCCTCTTTTTCTTTCTCTTTTTCACTTCCTTTTTCTTTCTCTTTTTCACTTCCTTTTTTCTTTCTCTTTTTCACTTCCTCTTTTTCACTTCCTCTTTTTCTTTCTCTTTTTCACTTCCTCTTTTTCTTTCTCTTTTTCACTTCCTCTTTTTTCCTTTTCTTTCTTTTTCACTTCTCTTTTCTTTTTCTTTTTCTTCTTTTTTTTTCTCTTTTTCCTTCCTTTTTCTTTCTCTTTTTTTCCTTTTTCTTTCTCTTTTCACTTCCTTTTTTCTTTCTCTTTTCACTTCCTCTTTTTTCTTTCTTTTCTTTTTTCACTTCCTTTTTCTTTCTCTTTTCACTTCCCTTTTCTTTTCTTTTTCTTCTTTTTCTTTCTCTTCCTTTTTCTTTCTCTTTTCTTCCTCTTTTCACTTCCTCTTTTTTTCTTTTTCACTTCCTCTTTTTCTTTCTCTTTTTCACTTCCTCTTTTTCCCTCTCTTTTTCACTTCCTTTTTTCTTTCTCTTTTTCACTTCATTTTTTCTTTCTCTTTTTCACTTCATTTTTTCACTTCCTTTTTTCTTTCTCTTTTTCATTTTTTTCACTTTCTCTCGTTTTCTTTCTACTCTTCACTTTCTCTCGTTTTCTTTCTACTCTTCACTTTCTCTCGTTTTCTTTCTACTCTTCACTTTCTCTTTTTTTCATTTTTCTTTTTCCTTTCAATTTAATTTCACTGCAAGCTGCATGTAATCTGCACAATTATTTTCATCTTTATGTATCTAAAAATACAAGACAGAATGAAAAAATAAATATAGCTAATTTTCTGATGTTTGGATTTCAAATCACCTTGCAAAAGATAAAAATTACTTTTTATGTTAGTCTAAATCATAATCCTCTAAAAAAAAAAAAACAAACTTGTTTAAAACATTTTCCTTAATTGCAAGACATAAATATGTTGGTTAGCTGAAACCATTATTTTGATTTATGAAGTAAAATTGAAAGATATTTTTTTAAATTATTTTTGGCATTAGTTTTATTAAACAACATTTTGTTTCACTATATTCTGTTGATTTCAATGCAACTTCAAAATTCCATCCTTCAAGAATTTACTGCTCCAAAGAATTCCAATTTTTGGTATTAAGAGAAATCTGTAAAAACTGCTGTAAACGTTAATTCAAAGGTGTAATGTCTGGTGAATAATGTGCATGGGTAAAAATTATGTTCCGTGTCTTAACTAATTCCAGAAACATTTTGTTAGTTGCTGCTTCCTGTTGATCTAATTATGAGCATTACTTGCTCAAATCAATCATTTGCTTATTCAGAAGGAGCTTATAGTAGAGCCCATGATTCCAAATCCCACTACATACACAGCATCCTCTTCTTTGGATGAAGACTGACTTTTGCAGCAACTTTACATTGCTTGTCACAATTTCTATAAAAATAGAAAATTTTCATGATATTTAAGTAGTAAGTTGTACATTTAGCTCATTCATTCTTTTGTTTTTGCTTAATTGATGTAGAAATCACACATCAAAGTGACTAACTGTTGTGTATGATACACCTAATTTACATAAGCGGACTACCGACCATATAAATATGGGTTGGTACCGGAAGACGGGGAAGATAGTAGAGATTAAGAAATTGAATCCAGAGACTCTGCCGACTGCGATTTAGTCAACCCATTATGCAGGAACAGTCTTCCCAAGAATATACCAAACTAACTGTAAATATTGTGTACCTATTCTTTGTTTCAATACATTTTGTTAACGTACATTTTGTGTTGTATTATTCCATGCTTATTTAAGCTTCAACAATGGCGACGAGGTATAAAGAACTTTACGTTCAAAAAAAAAAAAAAGAATTAATAATTGATAGCCTTCAATAATTGGGACAAGTGGAAGAACCCAGGCTGGGAAAAAAAAAAAAAAATCATTAATTAAAAGTCTAACATCTAATGGAACGGAAAAGTATTCTGAAGTTTGGACAGTTAAAACTAGTTAAAGGACGACTAAGCTTTAAAGGAACGTACACTCGGAAAAAATCTGGAAGGTGGCGTAAACAAATAAAAAAAAAAAAAAAAATGCTGGCCGACTAAAAAAGAAAAAAAAAAATGCTGGCCGACTAAAAAAAAAAAAACATGCATGGAATTAAAAGGAGCACAAATACCACGTGTCGACTTTGAAAGGTAAGCGAACTTGTAAAAAAAAAAAAAAAATTTGTTATTTTTTGTTTGTTTGGTTGCTCAACAATATTTTATAAAGCAAGACATAAAATTAAAAAAAGGCGTATGTTGTTTCAATTTTTGTTTTTGTCTGCTTATAGTATATTCGTGGATACACAATTTAAAAGTATATTCTTTGTTGCATGAACACTATCAGTTAAAAATGGAGGAATTATCCAAAGTCATAGCTGAATTGTTTAAAGCCCAGCAGTTGAGTCAAGCTGAATTATTCAAATCCCAGCAGTTGAGTCTGCAACAACAAAGTGAACAGGTTGCCTTATTAAGAGAACAACAATTAGCACAGCAGAATTATCAAGAAAGGCAAGAGGAGTTGAGTCAGCAACGTCAAAGGGAACAGGAAGAAATGTATGTCAAGGTTTTGGAAATTCAAAAGTTAACATTGGAGAAATTAAACAACGTTCAGGTAAATGAAAGTAACTCTTCATATTCTAATAACATCATATTTAATTCGTTGGAAACTTTCAACTATGTGCCAGGCGAAGGAAAAAACGTTTGAAGCGTATTTTAAACGATATGAAGATATTTTCCACACAGACTGTGAAAACTGGTGAATTCAAGAAAAGTCAGTCTATTACTAAGAAAGCTAGGTACAGCAGAACATAGCAAATTTGTAGATTTTATTCTACCGAGAAGAACAAATGAATTGGAATTCTCGGAAACAGTGAAATTGCTAAAGGAGTTGTTTGGAGCAAATATGTCGCTTTGGCATAGCGATGGTTATGCATGAATGTCGCTAAATCCGACGATCAGGATTACTTAACTTATGCATCTATAGTGAATAGACATTGTGACAATTTCAGATTGGCAGAGATTACGGTTGAAGAATTCAAGTGTTTAATTTTTGCTCAAGGACTGGTATCCAGTAAAAAGTGCGAAATAAGATGTAGAGTTTTGTCTAAACTCGAATCTGAACAAAACCTTACCCTGCAAAAAAGTTAGCAGAGGAGTGTCAGCGGGCCGTAAGTTTAAAGAAAGAGTCTCAAAAAATTGAAGAAGCTGGTATTGCTTATATTAAAAAGTGAAGAAACAGTCAAATTACCCATCAGAAAAAAAAAAATTGGATTAAAAAATTCGGCGTATTTTAAAAAATAAACAAGAAAAATTAAATGGAAAAAATGAGGAGGGAAAAAAAATGGTTCCGCCATTTAATTGTAGACGGTGCAACGGAAGACACTGGGAGTTAAATTGCCCATATAGAAATAAAAAATGTTTCGTGTGCCACAAGAATGGTCACAAAGGGTCGTGTTGTAAAACGAAAAAAAGTCAATAGCGAATTAGACAAACAAATTCAAATATCAAATCAGATAGAGATTTGAGGAAGTATGTGACGACTGAAATATTTAAAAAGAATATCAAATTTCAACTCGATTCGGGTTCAGATTTAACAATAATGAACTATAAAACATGGAAAATTTTAAAAAGGCCTACAATAATGAAGTCAATTTAAAGCGCTCGAACAGTGACTGGAAAGGAAATTAAATTCGAAGGCTTAGGTTGTACTTCCTATGAAATTGAACAGGATAGTTAAAAAATAAAAGTTTTCATTCTGAAAAATGGAGAAAACTTGATGGGTACAGATTTTATTGAAACATTGAATTGTGGGATAAACCGTTAAACTCTTTCTGCAGAAAAGTAGAAAGTAATCGCAAACAAGACAGGACATTATTGAGGAATTAAAAAAAAAAGTTTCGGAAACTTTCACACCTGGTCTTGGAAGATGTAACAAGTTTGAAGCCAAATTGAATTAAAGGAAAATACTATGCCAATTTTTAAAAAGAAACGTACTGTGCCTTTCGCAAGTGTAGAGAAAATTAACGAAGAACTTGATAGGTTGGAAAAAATGGGAATTATTTTCAAAGTAGAATCTAATTCATGGCTGCGCCGATTGTGTGCATAAAAAGAAATCAAACCAAGTCAGAGTCTGCGTTGATTTTTCGACAGGGTTGAACTTCGGTAATTAAGGACTACCATTACCCGTTACGAGTCCGGAGGAGATTTTTAACAAGCTAAATGGTGGAGTTATATTTTCAAAAATTGACTTATCAGATGCCTATCTCCAAATTCCGTCGAAGAGGAATGTTGGTTACTAGGGATAAACACGCATAGAGGGTTATTCAAGTACAACAGGCTTCCTTTTGGTATTAAAGTGGCACCTGCCATTTTTCAACAAGCTATGGACGTCATGCTGAATGATTTAGACTTTGCGTGCGCTTACTTAGACGACATCATAGTAAGGAGCGAATCGATTCGACGAACATCGAGAGCATCTCAATCAAGTATTTAAAAAATTCAGGACTTTGGATTTAAAGTCAAAGAGTCAAAGTGCGAATTTGGTTTGGAGGAAATTAAGTATTTAGGGCACATAATCAACAAAAATGGCAGATGTCCAGATCCGGAAAGGTCCATTGCGATTAGAGACATGCCGACGCCCACTAATGTGGCGATGCTACAAAGTTTTCTAGGGCTTGCAAATTATTATCAAGCGTTCATTAAAGGAAGGTACAATTTAAGAGCTCCGTTGAATGAACTGCTAAAAAAAAGACAAGGCATGGGAATGGACGGTAGAATGTCAGAAAGCCTTTGATGAAATAAAGAAAATGCTTACGTCCGACCTCTTTTAACCCATTACAATCCAAAACTGGATATTGTAGTGGCAAGTGGCGCTAGTTCATACGGGATAGGGCGTGTATTCAACACATAATGCCAGATGGTTCTAGAAAACCAATTTACTGCGCTTCGAGAACTTTGCTCCCAGGAGAAAGAAGTTACTCTCAGATAGAAAAAAGAGGCACTGAGTATCATTTTGCCATACAAAAAATTTCACAGGTACATCCACGGCAGACATTTTATCCTTGAAACGGATCATAAACCACTGATCACCATTTTGGTTCAAAGAAAGGGTTACCCGTTTATACAGCAAATCGTCTGTTAAGATGGGGAACCATTCTTCTCAATTATGATTTTCACATAAAGCACCTATCATCCAAAAAGATAATTCATGCGGATAGTCTATCAAGACTAGTACCAAGGCAAGAAGAAAGATTCGAAGAATCAATTATTGCAAATATCAGAGCAGATTATGAGGTGAAAAGCATGGTAAACAACATTGTAAGAGAGCTACGGTTCGCTAAATGAAATAAAAAAAAAGAAGCTGAAAGCGATGATTTCATTTTAGAAATTAAAAGCAAAATGGTAGCAAATGACCAAAAAGTGCAGGAGATTTTTCAATAGGTGATGGAGTTTTATTATATGGTGAGAGAGTAGTAATACCAAAAGAAAAGAAAAGAATACTTGGGACTTTCATATGGGTCACCGGGTATTAATAGAACAAAAAGCTTAATCGAAGCTTTGTGTATTGGAAAGGAATGGATGTGGATATCGAAAACATGGTTCATCGATGTAAAGGGGTGTGCGTTAGCAGCTAAGGCACCACCTATAGTACACAAACCATGGCCCAAGACGGATCATCCGTGGACAAGATTACAC